GTGGTCCAAGTTCTCGATCAGGCAACACAGTTGGAGGACAACAGACCAGACTCATCTGAGGTGGGATGGGCAGTGGACTCTGGGGAGTCAGCACCCACCAAAATCTCAATCAGTGACTACAGACCTAAACTGGGGTACAAGTTACATTCGAAAGCTTCCTCTCTGAAAGCACAATCATGTTTGTCGTGGAATAAAAGTTTCAATACTATGCCTTTTTTAACATTTGTGGACAAGTGGTTACCATTTTACTGTCAGATGATCGCAGGAATCACAGAGGTCAAAATGGGAGGGCTGCAGTGGATGCATATGCATTCCTGCGTGCCCACTGCAGAATGGTGTTCAGAAAAGGGCATGATGGTGAGTATCTTCTGTGATCACTGCCCCTATCCGAGGGTGGAGTCCTCTGCACACCTATGGTGGGAATACGTGGTGGCCAGAGGTTTCTGGGAATGGTTACAAGATACATGGCTGAGAGCCTACGGGGATTCTAATGTATGGACCCAAGACTTTGTGATATCTGGAGTTACTACAATAACAAAGGGTAGGGCTGTGGCCTACAAATTCCATGCGATAGCTTTCTGGATTTTGTGGCTAGCACGTAGGGACAGAAGGTTCTGCTCCAAACCTACCTCTCAGGCTGCTATCAGGAACCAATTTCGGTATTCGGTCCGCCTGTTAATACTAGCAGAACTCAGGAAGGAGAGGAGTTCCAAATTGTGGGAAAAGCCCTTTAGATGGGCAGGATCACTGGCTTCAGGCCAAACATATTTTTCTAGACTTCTATGGGATGAACATTCTGTTAGTTGAAAGTTAGCCCTTTTAGAATCAGCAACAGCCAGAAACCAAAACCCTTGGTCAAAAGTTCGATCAGGGATAGTCAATAGACTGTCAAGAGGGGTACTATTTGTTATGTGCATAGACACTACTCTCTGGCACGCGCAGATTCTGCCAGGGCTTGCCCAATAGACTACAGAACTGGTCCCTAGGAAAGGACGCTGGACGTCTTTTCCAGCTGGTAGTCTGCTTTTTCCTTTCTGCGGACTTGGGCATGTTTTCCAGATTGTTACCTGAATAGGATGCTGGACCTGTTTTCCAGCAATCCGGGTAGAATTGTGAGGTCCCCGGCCTCTGGTTAAAGACTTTAA